TATAGTTTGAAATTGCTTATGATGCCTTATTGAGTCAGATAGCATGTCTATTGACGCCTATGTCTCATTTTCTTGGCTCGTGTTCACTTTGTGCTTAATGCTTAATATTTTGTGGCTCCGTGAATACTTGAAACTATTTGAGAATCGGAATGGAACCGTCCTTAGTGAGTCATGTGCCATGTGTGGTGAGAAATTATGTAGTCCGTGTTTTTGTGATTGAGTCTAGAACTTGTCCCGGTATGTGAGTTGAAGCGAAATTTTAGGTGATGCTCGATTTGAAAAATAATTTTAGGCTTTCTTTGATCTTGTTGAACTTATTATTTACCATAAATAAAATTTATCCCTAGTTAACCCTTTTGAACCTATAGACTTTTATTTGGCACCCACATTACAAGCCTATACCCTTTTTGTTCTTAATTGATATTGTTTTGATCCTTTTATCTCGTAAAGCACTTTAATTATGAAATAAGAGCTAGAAGAAGTAAGGATTAAGTGTGGGGTGGCTTTTGAGTGGAACCAATGAAAGGAAGAAAGGTGCACTTATTTTATAAAGTAATACACCACTAGCGGAAACTGCAAAGGGAAAATCCATAGTAGAAAAAACAAATAAGAAAAAATAGAGATGAATAAATTATTATATTGTCCTTGCTAGTAGGTATGAATTAAAGTAGTGCTTAAAGAAGAAGGGAATATTTTTTTGGGTGCTATTGTTTGTAAAATTAAAGTGGTATTGAAGAAAATACGCTTAAAGTAATTGTGTGATGTGTTAAAGTGCTTAGGAGGGTGAGTCACTATTCCTAAAATATATCCTACCCGTCCCTTAGCCCACATTACAACCATGAAAAAGTCCTAATTGATTTTAGATCGAGCGAGCTTACAGTAGTAGATATTTACATTAAGGGCAAGCCTATGGTGCCAATTGCATGCATGTGACTTCTGTTGTGAGAGTGGGATATTTTCTTTGATATATATATGAGTCCTTAAAGTATATTTGAGCATTTGATTTAAGTGTGTGGATTCAACTTACTCTTTTGTTCTTGTTGTGAGGGCACATGATTTCATGAGGGATAGGTAACGTTATTAGACTTCTCTAGGATGTTGGTGTTCAATCCATGAGTGCATTGTAAATTTTTGAGTCGGTTTTTGAGGCTACGATTGTTACGAGCATGTTGTAGTTGTTGTGAATGTTTTGAAGCATAGCATCAGAAAAGGGAAGTGTATGAGATTTCATATGCTAAAGTTCAATTGCTGCTATCAACCATAGTAATTGGTGTAGTGTGCTTCAAAAGTGTTAAATATGTTAAATGCTCAAAGATAGTGTAAAGTGTTGGTTGACTCGAGGACAAGCAACGTTTAAATGTGGGGTATTGATGTGTGGCTATAATTCCATAGTTTCGTATATTATTTGCCTTGCATTTTATATATTTTAATGATAAATTACACTTTATTTGCGCGTAATGGAGTCTATTTTATGTGTAGGTGAATTGGAGATGAAAGTAGAGCAAAATGGATAATTAAACATTGAAAGCGTGCTCGAGAACAGTGAAAAGGAGAAAGTTGGCAAAGCCAGGCCTATAGCAGGATTTATACCTGGCGAAGCCAGGCTTTATACTTGGCGATGCCAGGCCTTTAGCTCGCGTAGGAGCTGGCGAGGCGAGGCAGAGGCAAGCTCAAGCATGTTGTATACTTGGCGACGCCAGGCCTGGGGCGAGGTCCACCAAGCGTTATGCCTCGTGAGGCCAGGTCTGGGCGTGCACATTCCGAGTTTTGAAGACTTATTCCATCTCCTGGTTTGACTAGGACTTGGCATACACGTTTAGGTATTTTCCTACACATATAAATAGACCTAAAAATGCCACTTTTGAGGGGGGTTGGACAGAGGAGACCGGGGATTCGACCTAAGGATCCAAGAACACACTAGGAGCAATGCGGAGAATTCTTCTACGAGTTTTTCACTTTCTTCTTCCTATTTCTATTATTGGTTATGAATTCTAGTATTGTAGTTATGCATACTATTATGAATAGCTAATTTGTTATCTAGGGTTTTGATGGAACCTATTGGAGGATGATTTTCCTGTTACGTTAATATAGATTTGCCGTAGTATTTTCTCTACTTGTTCAACTACGTTATTATTGTGGTTGGTTGAAAAGCTCTCAATCGACTGTGCTTATTTAGTGTATATTACTCGGGAGATAGTGCATATTTAGGTAATTGTTGAACAACATCACTCCTAACGTATATGAGGGATCAATACGGAGGGTTTAAAGGTGGGATTAGGGATAACGAAACCTTGGTGCGATCCGAGTGAGCCGTACTTAATGCCAACTAGCGTAATTCAGGAAAATATGTCTAGTAAATTGTGGTAGTTATTCGGGAAAGAATTACGCCACTCAGAGCGCTCATGATCGGTAGAGAATACTTAGGCGAAATTATAGAAGGCGTAGCGGGAAGGATTCCGACAATTGGAGAAATCATAACTCTAGACCTCCTTAATCTTGTCTCCAATCTTTATCCTTGTTAATTGATAGTTTTACTGCTTTCTAGTATTTGTTAGTTAATTAGATAAAAATAAATATTATAATCTTTACAATTAGGAAATTGTTTGGACTTGTGTTTCTTAGCGATATTGAACAACTGTAGTTAAGCCTTAGTTCTCTGTGGGATTCGACTCCAGACTTGTAAACCGGATTATATTTGCAACGACCGCTTAGTCCTTTTTATGAGGCATAGTTGGGCGTGATCAATTGACTTCGTTTAGTCATTAGCACCGAAATTTAATTCAGTAGCAATATATATGCATGTGATACATTGAATTATAAATATATGCAATTATCCATCAAGGTGCTGTTTAATTTCCCATATTCAGAATTATTAGAGCAAAGTACTAATGTATTTCTTGTTGTATTTCACTTTTTGAATGTACAATTCGTTGAAGTTTGATGAATTATATACATTTAGTACATCTAAAAATAAATTAATCGTTAGATACAATTAGAATTCTGAATTTCCTTAGAGAATTTAAGCAGGTAACAGTGCCATGAATGAGTTATCTGACACTAGAAAGTAGTATTTTAAACTCTGAATCTGGGAGTGACTTGTTTTCATAGTTTCAGATACCATTGATTATCCATTAATTTCACCTTCGTATTTTAGTTTTTTTATATATATAAATATAATTTCCTATAAGAAACTATAACGTAATTATGACTCTGCCTCTATGATTTATTATTTCTTGATTTGGCTTCTGCACCCACTTTTAATTACAAAGTTAATGTTCTGCGATTAGTAATTAAATGTTGAGGTGTCAATGTACAACAACAGGTCTTTAATTAACAATAAATAAATATCGGTCACTGGACCTCCCCCTCCTTTTAATAGCGAACAGATATGTCTTGTAATTGATAAGTTGCGTACTTTCATGAATAAACTTTGACTTTTATTTACAATAAATGAAATATGATGCTGAATTTCTGCGAAAGATACACGAAAGGTTTACGTGTTCTCTCTTTGATCAAGACCAGAAAAATCAATTGTTTACGTTCATATTAATTTAAAAATGGATAATAAGTTTATACATAATGCTTCCTTTCATTTCTTTTTATTTTTCATTTAAAATTGGCACCTTCATTAAAATGATACTAATTTAATAGCACTATGAAAGGGGTTTGACCAAAATGACTCTTTTATCTTTTCCTAAAAGAGCGTTAGTAAAGGGGTGTAAATGAATATTTGAAAACTGACTAAATTGATCGAACCGTATCGCACCGAACTGATTTTTAGATTTCTTTTAAAGAAACCGTAGGTTTTTTTATAAATCTATAACTGCACCGATAATTAGGGTAGGTTTTTTATTTTATGAAAATAAACCGAAAAAATACTGAACCGTACCGAATAAATTTTACATGTGAAAAATATATTTATATAGTAAGTTTAAAAATAATAATGCATTGAATTTTTCTTTCGGCCTTAGAATTATGAAAACTGTTACAAGCGAACAAGTAATTAAACTCAAAATACTAATTCCTAAAACTTATTATGCTACTTGTACTTAAACTAAGTTATTTCAAGTATCTTCATTAGTAAGACACAAAGTATTCTAGCAATTATGAGTAGGAAACTACTACTACTACAACAACAACAACAACAACAACCCAGTATAATTTCACTAGTGGGGTCTGGGGAGGGTAGTGTGTACACAGACCTTACCCCTACCATGAGGTAGAGAGGTTGTTTCCAATAGACCCTCGGCATCCTTCCCTCCAAGAACTCCCCACCTTGATCTTCAGGTGACTCGAACTCACAACATCTTGGTTGAAAGTGGAGGTTGTTTACCATCAGAGCAACGCCTCTTGTAGCAAACTACAATGTATTGAATATGTTTCCTTTCATATAATTTAGATTTATCTTTTTGAATATTTAATCTTCTATAGACTTTATTCTTGAGTCTCAGTTTGGTTAATATCTTTCCACTCGTGTGATTTATATTTTTTTTTTTTGCCTTTGCTTGATTTCTTTTATGGTGTTGTAAAATAGTTGATAGATCTATACTCTATCCATCTTTCATTTTTTTTTTATTCATCACCCTTTAAACAATAAAAATGTATAGAGTTTTGCTAAGTAATATAAAAGAACATATGTTATTACATTCTACATCTACTGGTGAATTTTACATGATATTTAAGAAAATACCGAAAATTAACCGAACCGTACCGATACCGAAGAGAAACCGACATAATTGGGACGGTTTCGAAAAGTCTAATTTTGGTAATACATAATAGAATAACCGAAAAATTAATATGATACAAATTTAATAAAATAACCGGCCGAACCGAACCATTGACACCCCTGATTAACCTATCGGAAATAAACATGTATTTTATCCAACCAACCAACTTTGAATTAGTGAAGGAAACATAAGATTGTAATGCAAATATTGTCCAAACAAATAAAAGAAGCCAGAACCAGCAATATTAAAATATATCAAAATTGCAATGCCACATAATGCTCAAACAATCTATAAAAATTGCAAAATAAGGGAGCCCGCGATCTTATTTTGAAATGTTTGCGTTTGCAGTTCACAATTATATGGAATCATTATATGATACAAATTTTGGATAAGAATCTACAAATGCTCTAGAACATTCATGTTCATCCTTTGAGCGGGCGAATTCAGTAATCATTGCACCGTGCCATCCCATTGAGCATCGAACAAAAAGTTGTATCAGTTTTGCACTGAGAAGTTTGTGAAGCAGATGGTATCACTCAGAAGAGGAGATCCAGATTTAGATGTTCCCTGCACCTTCTGAATCTGCACCAATAAAATAAAATGCACCTCAGATGAAAGATTGTGAATACAAACATCCTGATGACCAGATACAATGAGTTTCACAAATTCTCTTCAAACACAAGAAAATGATTCTGTTTTCATTGCACTGTCGAGAATTTATGATGAGAAACAGAAACACACAAGACAATGCGTGTGAAGTCAAATTACTTGCATTTCCTAACAGAGCAATCCGAGCAGCAAACATATAAATAATTCTCTACCTGTATTTGTATTCCATGCAAGAGTCATTCCAATTCAAGCTCTTCCTTGTCATATACTATCTCAATCTGCATTAAGAACCAATGAATTAAGACATTTGTCGAGAAAGGATCCATGAGATTATTGTGATGGTACAGCGAGAATGGCAAAAGGATATATATACTCAATGAAGATGCTACATTGGAACACCAAAAGGAAAGTCCGCAGGCAGTTCAAATGAAAATGCCATAGAAAGATTTGAAAAAACAGAACAAAAGAATAAAAGTCGAGCATCAAAATTGATTTCTAAATGCAGCATACAAAATGAGAACGTTTGCATCAATTTTCTAAGTGATATTCTCATGATACTTCTGTAAGAGTTTTGGGACTGGCCTACAGCTGAAACTGAAAGGATGCAAGTGAATTCTCTTATAGGTCACCATTGCTGCCAAGCTAAAACAACCAATTTTCTAATTAACACCATAAGGGGGAGGGTGTGGTGCCAACGACAGAGGTTAGGTTTCCAGTGCTCACAACTAAAAAAATTGTTTCTGTATCCATATGACAAACAAGATTCTTAGTAACTATCCCTAAAACATCACCAACACACCCACCAGAAGAAGCTAAAAGGGCACATACTCCACTTTACTCATGCCCCACCAGTCAGACAAGTGATGTGTATCGCTGCTCACAGATACGCCATGAAAGAGAGATCTATCTTGTGTACATGAACATTGAAAAATCAATTTGTCTTTCCTGAATGTCTCACTAAGTGACAATATCTAATCATGAGCTAGCGAGCAAACACTAATATGGAATTATGGCTGTTTTATAGTGCCACACCAAGTAAAACGAAAGAAGGATTCTCTACATGTGTGTGATATATAGCACTGAATTCCAAATGAAATTAGTAAGGAAAAACATGCCATCATCATGCACGCTATTTATCTCCACTTTCTGCACAACTAAATGATTTTGCTTTTTATTCTCTTTGAGTTATCTAAATAGTTAAACCATCTGTTCTAGATAAACGAATCTAGAAAAGTAAAGCCGCAGACAGTAAATAACACATCTTTGAGTCAAGTAAGACAGTAACACATAATGCACAAATGAACAATCAACTCCACTACAGGACATGGCAAAAAAATGAGAAACAAAAAAAGCAATCAATGTAATGTTGCCACCTAGATTAAATTCTAAATATTGCATATCAGATACTGGAAAGAACTCAAGAAACTGGCTAATTGAAATATAAGATATGTGAAAAATGCAAAGAATTGACATATCAGAGAAGTGCAAAATGCAATAAACTACTATCCAGTTTACCCTCTTTCCCTTGACCCCTTGCTATGCCTAGGAGGAGGCCCCTCCTGCTTCTCTTCCTCCCACTGTACAGAAGCCGGTGGTGGAGATGGCTCGTACCTTGAAGGCCTTCTTTTGAAGTGCCGATCATCGTCACTACTCTCATAATCCATACTTGCAGCAGCACTCTTCCTTGATCCAGTAGCTGCTTTGTACTCTTCGTGATACCCATTTGATGTAGTACCCCGGTGGCTCGCCGAGGAACTCACTGGCACTTCACTGGAGGATGACACCTTTCGCTTCTTTGAAGCTGCTGGTGCATCTTCAGCTGGGAAACTGATGCGAGAAAAAACACTGGCCTTCTTCTTATCCATGGATTTGAGTGGCGCCACCACTGGTGGCTCGGATGGGCCAGTGGAGGATGGTTTGACGCTAGCTGAAGATTCTGAACGGTGGTGGCTACTGCTACTGCGATGGGCATACTCACGGTGGTGGCGGTCCTCATGGTGGTCGCGGCGATGGCGGTCCTCATGATGGTGATCATCATAATCTTCATACTTTCTCTTGGACAAAGGGCGAGGAAGTTCAGGATCTCGCGATCGACGGTCTGGAGATGGCCTCTCAGGCCGACGGTGATAGTCAAGGTCAGGTGAGGGCCTCTCAGGTCGGCGGCGGTGGTCAAGCTCCGGCGAAGGCCTCTCAGGTCGGCGGTGGTGGTCAAGGTCTGGCGATGGCCTCTCAGGTCGGCGGTGGTGGTCAAGGTCCGGTGATGGCCTCTCAGGTCGGCGGGGACGGCCGGAGCTCGATTGAGGAGGAATAGCTTTCTGTGCAATCATCAATGAATATATTAATATCAAAAAATTGCAAAGAAGAAAAAATGTTCTAAAATATCAAAATGCAGATCTAAAGCCGTAAAAAACATCATGCACTACAAAAGGAGAGGATTTTACACCTCTTTAAAATAGACTCTTTTTTCCTACTGGCCTAGCAAATACTCAAAATAAATACACCATAGTACATTCCAGGAAAAATGATTTAACCTCACCCAATCCCCCACTACACTTCAATGATTCTACAACAGAAGATTAGTCTAGAACACTTTTGGAGTCCTATCCACTTCCATCATTTTTCCATGTTCTTAATAGCTTACTGTAAAAATTTTCGTCAAAATAGGCAAACAGTT